TGAGTTGGAGCTGTTGTTGTTAAAATATAATCCCGTTTCATCCCAGGTGGTGTTTGGGATTCAGCTGGAGCCAGTAGAAGTGGAGATGTCATCTGGGTCCCTCTCTCTGGCCTGATCTGGTCAGGACATCTCTCAAGGTCAAGATGACGAAGGCCTAGAGGTGCAGGAGATGGTGGGGGTGTAGCACTGATGGTGAAGCTCACTCCAGTACCCAATTTTTCTTCTCAAAGCCTCTTTCATGAAGGACCCACAAGGGGAATGGTCAGTGGAACAGCCCATCCCCTCATTATTTTGTCCACCAATTAGGCCTAGTTTCTGACACGTCAGTTTTGAGTCACTGATTTCTGATTCCACCCTCTTCTTGTTTACGAGGCTTGATCTTAACACAGTCCTTGAGTTATATCAGTTGGACTTTTTGTTTGGACTAATTCAGTCTGTCTCCCTTTTGTACCTTTTCCCATCAACATTTGTTGTTATAGGTTATGACATCTTATGAACTTACCATAACTGTGAGTTCAACTCTAAACAGTGAGTGTAAATTTGTAGGCCCAATTATCACAACACTTGCCAATATCCATCTTTCTCATCTGAAATAGTGGATATGCTTTTATCAGATAGTTAGCATGGAACATCTGGGGATGGAGTAATTCTGTCCCAGTATAGCCTTATTAAGGTCTCTAGGATCCAAACACATCCTAATCGTGCCATTTTTCATTTCAGTTAAGACCAAGCTGGTAATCCATGGAGTGGGTCAGTTCACTTTTGCTATGACCCTTTTCTAATGGCCTCCATGCATCTCTGAGTCTGTCCATCACTGCAAAGGCGATATTTCTGCAGGTGCGTACGATGGGGTGACTGATGGGTCTGTATTTATGTGATGCTTCCCATGGAACTCTCCTAGTTCTCTAAGGTCTTTTGGGTATGGTGCAATCAATTTTTCTTTAGTGTTGGGTGCTTTGATGTGAACCATGCCTATTCTGTGTATTAGGTAGCTGTGTGCAAGCTTCTTTGCCTAACTGTGATGTTGTAATGCCTTAGTGATGAAGAACTGAAGACTGACCTTAGCCTTGGCCATCGCTGCTGTTAGCGCGACTTCTCCTTCAGAGTCTATTCTGGAACTGCCATATGCTATATGTGCAACATTAGACGGCTTTATTCTGATGGGACCTGGTATCTTTTTCAAAAGGTGAACTGATAAAACATTAGCTTCATCTCCAGTATCATTCAGGTGCATTTTTTATATTCAGTAAACACTGCTGAGTGTGTGTTATATGATTTCTATTACCCTGTGATACTATATCTACAAGGGATTGTTCACATTCTAGTTCAGCCAGAGATTTGTGGCTTTGTCTTTTGGGTACGTTTGTTGCTCTGCACATAGAAGAATAATGATTTAATTGTCCACACTTGTGACGTTACTGCAAAGGCTGGGCAGACTCTGGGTGGGTGTCTTACCACACAGCATGTGCATAGTTTCTTTGTGTGAGCTGTTGATGAGTCTGCTTTGCTGTGATTCTCATGTGACTGGGTCTTGTCTGTACTTTTGTGTCAAAGCCTGTATAAACTTGTCAGAATGTGGCCCAGCCTTGATCTCTATTTGTGTCTTTATGGCTTGAGAGGGTCTGCAAATGTCTATTGCTTTTTACAAGCCCAAATCAGTTTCCCTCAACAACCCTTCCTTTAGTCCTTTATCAGTGACACTGAGCACGGTGTTGTCTCTGAGCATGTCATTTTTTAATATTTCCAAACTCATGTCTTACCTCTTGTCTCTGTGACATACTTGTCTATCTTCTCGTCTCCTAGGTGTAGGTGAGACCAGAACAGGTATCGTTTGAACATCACATTATTCTTAGGGTTACAATAGTTCCTAAGCATTGTTGAGACCTCACCCCAAATGGGACCATTTTTAGTTGGCAGCTGTAAGAATGTGTTAAGCACTTCCAGAGTCTCCTCTCCCACTATGTGCAATAAAATGGCTTCTTTTATGTCCTCTTCTTTTTTATAGGCTCCTGAGGCTGTCATAGAGATGTGGAGTCATTGTTCCCCTCTCCTCCAATTTTCAGCTATATTACCAGGGAAAGATGAAGGTGGGGGTGGCTTGCAACCCTTTATGTTAATTTTTTCTTATAAAAACACCTGATTTTTCTTTTACTGTGTTATTTTTGTGTGTACTGACTATGTTCTGGGTCTCAGTACTCTGTATTTTTTGTTTGGCTCCTGGTGGTCTATAGCTTGCAGTTTCTTCCTCTATGTAGTAGTTTGCACCATTTCCTAATCCACTGTGTTCCTGACAAAAGCAGCCACGTCTTGCTTCATGCACAGTATGGTCACTTCTGACATCATGTTGTGCTTTCTAGCACAGGCAGGCAGCCATGAGTATGCTGCAGCTTCTCTAGTTCAGGAGCCAGAGTGAGACCAGGGATATAAAGTTTAGACCACAACTCTCTTTATTAGTTACATGACAAGATGGCTCATAAAGATTCTAATCATGAAGACTCTGTGTGTGTCTGCCTCATGTGAGAGACCTCTCACAAATTCCAATGGGAGTTCCTACGGTGATTACACGTGACTAATTGTTTTTGCTTCAGCCATACTTATTCCTTGTTTTGTGTTTTTTATCAGCAAGCATCTGTGCAATCGCTTTTTCTGGTATGAATGTTTGGAGACAGCCAAAGTCAAAACTCCATGAACAAATATTTGTGGAAACCAAATTTTAAATATCCAAGTAAAAGTATTTGCATTGACAGACTGGTGCTCATCCGATTCAGAGAACAAGTACAATACCTTGTGACTTACTTGACCAATCGCAACTAACCAACCTAACTCAATAGCTATGAATACTGACTATTCACAGAGGTCTATTCGTGATCAAGCCATGTTTTTAATAAAGAATAAACCAGAAATTGCTATCTGCCTGAGAATATTCTGTAACCGGGAAACCTTTTGGAAAAAATCAGAGAGCAGTCAGAAAATGGTACTGTACCACTAGAGTTATCTTATTTCTTAAATTATCGTCATTTGAATAGACAACTATGCCTGTTTAACTAGACATTTTTTTCTTGAGTTAACACATTTGACTCCCTGTGAAGTCAATAGAAGTTATGGAAGTGAACTAGGAGACAGAAGACAATCTATAGATTTCAGTGGGGTTTAAACAGAGACTGCGGGGTATTCCAATTAGTCACGGGTACTAAAATATATCACTTAAAAAACCCTCTGGTGTGACCCTCCTCACAATACCATGTAATTCCAACATTCAGTGAAAGTTCTTAAATGATTCTTGTGAGAGAATGAGTTTGTTGACATAAAAAATCTAGGACAAGCACTTGACCATGTGTGCGTATCACAGCTCATCGGAAGTCATTCCAATAATAGCCTTTGTCTGAACTGCAGTTTTCAGAAAAAAGCTGCACTTTGTATTTCTAGATTTAGCGAATCTCACATAAGTGAGAACATACTGCACCATCAATACTGCAAGTACAAACCAGCAGGTGGCTTATCTCCCCAGAGACTGGTTTTATCATCACTGACAATAGAGGCAGTGTTTTAAACACAGTGTGATACAAGTAATTCGCACATGGGCTGTGTTTCCTAGATGCTGTCTGAACAATTCTGGGTGACTATTAGAACCGTGTGAACAGTGGAAAAAATTATTCCAGAACATTTTCATACAAATCTGTATATTTTTTTTATATTTTGCCATATCCAATCCCTATTGGTTATTTATCAACAAACACTCATGACAAACTGTTTTTCATTCACATAAATGTTTAAGGAATGACCGAACTTCATGGAAATACCATTATTTGCATACAAACAATGGTGTTCATGCGTGAATAAAGATACTTGCTATTTGTGCTGAAAATCTCCATAGACGTTAGTGGCTGAAAAAGAGCCAGTACAGTATCTTGCATATACTTTTTCTTTTGATGTTGTATTATATGATACATTACACTGGCATAATAAATAGTATTGTAGGGCTTTAGGATATAAGCCATTTTTTGCACAGTTCAAGTTATAAAGCTTTTGTAGTAGAAGTTCAAGATCATAAATTCTCAAAGAGCGAGGCAGCATGGTAAATTTGTTATGTTGCTGAGATAGTTCATGAAGAGAGTAAAGATAAAAGACCAAACCATTTACTTTTTAAAATAATTGTGAGTGACTTCTGTGCTCATAAAACTATTCCATCCCAAGCTAAAACCTTGTCTGATTGTTTTCATCCTGGAGAGAATTGTTACAGTGCAGCAATGATAAATCCCTCGCAAACAGGGTTCAGAATAAAACACTAACAGGCCTTCAATTATATTGATACTGTCAGGGGCTGCTATAATTACAGATTTATTCAAATGCTAGTTTTAGGGCAGAATTGTCCTCAGAGAGCCACATGACAAATATCTTTATTCAAATATTCTTCTCTTCCTAGATGGGTGGAACTCTTTTGATGGCAATGGGAAATCCACACACACAGGGAAAGCCAACGGACTAAATCAAAATCTGCCATATAGATCAGAAAGGAGAAATTTCCCCTTTCCCTCCTACCACCCAGTTTTCTTGTCCAATGTAGAGACACACTGTCCTGTATTGTGGTCAGACTAAAAGTTTGTTTTCCATTCTACATTTTGATGGATGTTGTAAAATGGGAATAGTACTGTGCTGTTCTTAAAAACAAACAAACAAACAAACAAACAAACAAACAAACAAACAAACAAACAAACAAACAAACAAACAAACAAACAAATTTCCATGCAGTGATAGCTGAGATCTCACAGTTTTCCTCTATATTCTTCACAGGAATATATTCTTAACGGTGGGTTCTTAGATACCAAGGTTGCAATGACTGGAAAATGCTGACTTTTTAAATGGTGATCTCTTTAAATACTTTTTACTGGTGACTTCAGATATTTTGGAACACATTAGTAGCACAACACAAACTCACCGTTGTAAAATGGTAAACCCCTTCATTTCTGATTGCACTTCACAGTATTTGTATAATCACATACCTGCATCCATACATTCCAGGGTGAAAGAAATATCATCAAGAGCAACTTCTGTGAGCTCATTCCCTCCCACTTCAGCTTCAAATGTGACTCTGAAAGGACTGTTGCTAGAGAGAACCACATTTGCATAAGTCCACATGCTTCCTTTATTTCCACTTGAAGACCACATCAGAATATGCATTCCATGTTCTTCAACAGTGTACACCTATTGACAATGAAACCCAGGAAATAAAATGTAATCAGCATGAAACTACAGAGAAGTACAGCTAGTTAGGTCAACCCAATAAAGTTTGAGTGTTCAGCCAACTGGCTATGTAATACAGAGTCTTTCTGCTGTGGTTCATTACCTGGTTGGTGATGACTGAATATTGTGACATGGCCGTGGTGGTCTCAATCCAGTTTCTAGTAAACAAGAGTTCACATAACAGAAAATGCTGCCAGAAGTTATTAATTGGGAAACCCTGCTGCCAGCCTTGGCCAGCATAGAAGCAGATCCAAAATCCATGGATGTCAAAGGAAATACTCAGCGCAGAGGATGAATTGACCTCTCAATCCCTCAAACTGGTCCCTCTCTGTCTGAACTGAGGTGAGAGAGTATGTGAAGCTTTTAGATGTATAAATAGAGGATTTCAGCACCCAGTGGTTTCAATCTGGCATCTGTTACAAACACTTTTAAAAAATTGCACTCAGTGATGCAATTTGCACTGCACTCAGTGATGGCAAATTGACTCGTAGAAACTTAGTGATAAATGCCAGTGTAAAACAAAATCAAATATTAAAACAAACTACATGGAATGAATTTGCAGCAAAACAAAGTTATTGAACCACTCAAATACAACAGAAGGGCCCAATAAGTCTTGATATACTGTGATTTTTGAAAGCAATTTTACTCCATCAGCTGACCAGCAGGAGACACTGAAGCATTATATTTTTGGCATCTCAGATTGCCAGAAATTGTGAGTGTCACCTTTGGGCCTGATATTCCTCCACTCTGGAGCTCATTTCCCAACCTAGGGTCCCTGGTATGGCAATGAAATACACCTCTACCCTGATATAACGCGACCCTATATAACGCGAATTCAGATATAACGCAGTAAAGCGGCGCTCGGGGGAGGGCGGGGGGGGCTGCACACTCTGGCGGATCAAAGCAAGTTTGATATAACGCGGTTTCACCTATAAAGCAGTAAGATTTTTTGGCTCCCAAGGACAGCGTTATATCGTGGTAGTGGTGTATAAAGAAAAGCAAAAGAATGAGAGCCAAGAAAATTCTGGGCTTAAATCCAGGTTGATTAATTGCATAACCTTCAATAAGTCACTTGACCTTCATGTCCCCCAACCAATTCAGTTGGATAATTGAGTTAAAAACCAACCAGGACCTTAAACCAGATACTTTCTTTGAGCTTTACTGCATAAGAATTTTGAGACAAAATGTTATCAAAACAGATGTCTAGTGAAGCAGAGTCAGTCTCTGCTTCCAGCAGCTCTCTGCGGGTGTCTACCTTTCAGTCATCTTTAGATCAGTGAAAAACTGGCTGACAAATGGAAGTAAATATCCATGTCAGGGGCATTCTTCACTGTCTAAATGAGATTGAAATGGGCAGGACCAGTGGCATAACTCCCACCTGCTTGGAAGCCTCTACATAGGGGAGGAACGACTCCTTTGTGCAGCTGTTCTTATCAAGCATCAGTTGAAAAAGTCAAGTACTCACTAAAGGTGAAAAAGGGCTTTGTGGAAGGATCTTAGAGCTTTCCTCTGAGGGCAATTTAAGAAAAGAAATGATAACCAATAGGGTGAAAAATGATGTGGTGTTATTCCCTGAGGAACAGACTTCATACTCATAGATTTAGCAATCGTTTCACTGGATAGAATGCCACCTCCACTGTCATGACAGAATACATGTCAATGAATATCTTTCATTTCTAGCAATGGACTGATTTGACTAGAAAAAAAGAGACACCAAATATAATTGAAGTGCATGTGTGTATTATTTATCATATAAAAATATACACACACACACACAAGTCTTCATGAATAGATGAGGAAAACTAAATATAAAAAGGCTCCTATGACAAAGAATTCTTCTGAAGGGGGGGAAAAAAGGCCCATTTGGATAGCGAGGGATGACCAGAAGGCAGAACATTTGTTGGTTGTTCCCTATAGCATTTCTGGGATTTAGTCATTCATCTTTTTCCCAGGACTGTACTTTCTAATTGTCAGACTAAGTATATTTCTACACCTAGGGCTGAAGGGAATTTTTAATGATCAGACACTTTTATACTTTCAGTTTCTTTATGTTTTTTGTTTGTAACCTCTTTCTTCTTCCAGCTGCCTCTTAAATTTCTGTTTGTTGACAGGCAGGATATGTACTAACTTTCAGAACAACAATGCAAATTCTGCTCCTTGGCTGATATAATCATAGAAATATAAGACTGGAAGGGACCTCCAGAGGTCATCTAATCTAACCCCCGGTGCTGAGGCACAAACAAGTATAATCTAGACCATCCTTGACAGGTGTTGGTCTAGCCTGTTTTTAAAAAACTTCCAATGATGGGGATTCCACAACCTCCCTTGGAAGCCTATTACAGAGCTTAACTACCCTTCTAGTTAGAATGTTTTTCATAATATCTAACCTAAATCTCCCTTGTTCAAGCCCATTACGTCTTGTCCTACCTTCGGTTGACATGGAGAAAAATTGATCATAGTCCTCTTTATAGCAGCCCTTAACATATTTGAAGACTAATCTGGTCCCCCCTCAGTCTTCTTTTCTCAAGACTAAACATGCCAATTTTTTTAACCTTTCCTTATAGGTCAGGTTTTCTAAACCTTTCTTCATTTTTGTTGCTTTCTTCTGAACTCTCTTCCATTTGTCCACATATTCCCTAAAATGTGGCGTCCAGAATTGGACATAATACTCTAGCTGAGGCCTCACCAGTGCTGAGTCTAACAGGACAATTACTTCCCTTGGTGTACATACAACTCTCCTGTTAATACACCCCAAAATGAAGTTAGCCTTTTTTACAGCTGCATCACATTGTTTATTCCCAATTTTGTAGTTATGCATTTGATTTTTCCTTCCTATGAGAAGTACTTTCCACTTGTCTTTATTGAATTTTATCTTGTTGAATTCAGACCAATTCTCCAATTTGTCAAGGTCATTTTAAATTCTAATCCTGTTCTCAGCAAATCACTGATAATTACTCTTTGAGGCTGGTCTTTCAATCAGTTGTGCACCCACCTTTTAGTACGTTCATCTAGACCACATTTCCCACTCCCCTTCTCCAATCTTCTGGGACCTCACACATCCTCCAAGAGTTCTCAAAGATTATTGCTAATGGTTCTGAGATTGTTTCTGCTAGTTTCTTTGGTACCCTAGGATGAAATTCAACAAGTCCTCCCAACTTGAATATATCTAACTTATCCAAATATTCTTTAACCTGTTCTTTCCCTATTTTGGTTTGTGTTCTTTCCCCCCTTGTTGTTAATATTAATTATGTTGAGTATCAGGTCACCATTAACTTTTTCAGTGAAGACAAGCAAAATAGCATTAAACATCTAGATGTCATCAAGTATTAGCTCTCCTTCCTTGCTAACTAGAAGATCTAAACTTTCTTTCATCTTACACTTGCTTCTAGTGTATTTAAAGAATCTCTTCTTATTGTCTTTTATATACCTTACTAGGTGTAACTCATTTTGTGAGTTAGCTTTTCTGATTTTGTTCCTATACGCATGTGCTATTCTTTTGTATTCCTCCTTAGCAATTTGTCCATGTTTCCACTTTTTGTAGGTTTCTTTAATTACCTGAAAATCAAAAAGGGGTTCCTGGTGGAGCCATATTGGCCTTTTACTATTCTTCACCTAAGTAGCCTAGCCAGCCTCTACCAACTCAGGATCTAGAATCCCAGTCTCTCCCTGAATTTTATCTTCTGCCTTCTGCTGCTTTCAGTTCTGGAGTAGACAAAAGTAATGTATGCTGGGACTCAGAACACAGGCTTTTTTTCCTGAGCTCTGGATTTTAAATTTTAGTGGAGAAGTATCAGAGAGGTTTTTTGGTAAAAGCTTCAGATTAGAAAAATCCTGCTTTGATGTACAATAAGTTTCCTATTCTACACATTTCATGTGTGGCTCATGACTGCATTCCTCCAACTTAAAACTGGTGGAATTCCACTGAAATCAATGGAGCAATGTTAACGTAAAGCTGGAGTAACCCAATGGGGAGCCAGATTCTATGTTTCTTGATGTAGAATTACCTGAATTTCTCTGAGGATGGCCAGTATTCTGGGTAAGGCACTAGAATGGGATCTGGGAGATCTCTGTTCAATTCCCTGCTCTGCCACAGTTTCCAGTATGACCTTGGACAAGTCATTTAATCTAGCTGCCTCAGGTCCCCATCTGTAAAATGGTGGTAATAATACTTCCTTTCTCCAATCCTTTGTGTGTGTAGACTGTAACCTCTTCAGGGTAGGGACTGTCTCTTGTGATGCATTTGGATAATGCCCAGCACAATGGGTCCCATTCTCCCTTGAGACCTCTACAAAATACCATTATATATACATATATATAATAATATGGAAAAGTTTTGATTCTGATTTATTTCAGCAATTACCCAAGAGGTTCAGAAAAATGTGAACCTCAATTAGAACTCTGGGGTTCTTTACCTGCAATGTAGGTGTTATTCTCTCCGGGGTAAGTGGCTCCAATATGCCCATAGCGAGTGAAGAGGATAACTAACAGATTGCAATGTTGCATTCTTTGCCAGAGCATCCCACCACAATAAGAACCCAATGTGTCTTGCTGTTCAAGACCTAGATGCAGTCTGTCTTTATGCTCAGTGTATACAGACAGCACAAGGATGAGGTTTGTATGTGGCCCCTACACAGGGATACACAGAGCACAACCACTGCTTAAGGCTAATGTTGACAGAGTCATTAGCCTCTGTAGAAGAGGGAAGTGGAGGAGGGGCAGAGCAATACTCCTCCCATTCCATAGGAGCTGAGATGGACTCATACATGGAGGAGCACAGATAGTGCCCAGTACAGAAGAGTCACTTTGGCCCATGTTTCCCAGACCCCCGGGAGGAATTATGCTTGCATAGTGCTCAGTGTCCCAAGAGACTCTAGCCCTTCCACATACTGTGAGTTGTGCCATAAAGGCGCACACTACCCCTGTGTGTCCACAGCTGATTTAACAGATGGAGGGATGAAAGG